TCGGTCTGAGTGTAGTTGTCGCACTCGTCCAGGTTCGCCGCACCCAGCACCATCGTGTCCAGAGCATCGCGCGGCGGCTCACGCCACTTCGCCGCAAGTGCAGCCATCACAAGCACAGACTGCAGGTCGTAGCCTTCCTCGAAGGTGAAGCACTGGTCCTGGATCTCCATCTTGTTAAGCGTCAGCGTACCAGTCTTGTCAGAGCACAGCATGTTCACACCAGACATCATCTCAATAGCAGTCAGCTTCGTCACAATGATCTTGTGCTTTGATAGATGCTTTGAGCCCACCGCGAGCGTTGTCGTCACGACAATCTCAAGCGCAATAGGAATCGACACAACAAACACGACCACAGAAAACTGCAGTGCATGACGGAAGCTTTGGCTGAAGTGCGCCAACAAGTAGATGAAGCAAATAAGGCACAGCACGAAAGAGAAAATTGCCAGTATCAACGTCACGCGAGACAGAATCACGTGGATGTTGCCAAGATCAGACTCCACAGACTGAAGCAGGACTGCTGTCTTGCCGAAGAACGTACTTTGGCCAGTATACTGAACGGTTCCCTCCACCTCGCCACGCACAACGTTCGAGCCCATCTTAGGCATGTGATCCGTTCCCATAGTCACAGGGAGCGACTCGCCAGTCAGTGCTGCCTCGTCCACATCGATCACACCTTCGTTGATGCTGCAGTCAGCTGGCACCGCAGAGCCCGATGCAAGTTTCACCAGGTCACCGGGCACCAATAGCCTAGCGTCAACTTGTTGCCATGACCCGTCACGGAATGCCGTGGCCACAGGCTTCAATGAGTTCTTCAGCGCTGCAACAGCGTCGCCTCCCTGGAACGTCTCGTATCCGCAGATGATGGCATTGATAATGAAAATAACAAGGAGAATAGCGCCATCTGCCCAGTATTGCAAAGCAAACTCAACAATAAAGGCAATAAAGAGAGCAACAGGCATAGGACCCCATAAGTTACGCACAAATATCAGCCAACTGGGTGTTTTCTTTTTGGGTAATTCATTTCGGCCGTATTGCTGCAAGAGATCCTCGACTTCGGCAGTTGTCAGGCCCTTCGATGGCGGCAGCAGGGGCTCCTCTCGAAAGTCATCCTCTCTGTGTTCACTGATGGTCTTGGATAAGAGAGGCTGGCGTGCATTCTTCTGCAGCCAAGTATCAGTGCTGTCCTTAACGGTTAAACTCGGTGTATCACTTAATGGGCTGCTCATTTTCGTCCTTGATTTACGCCAAGGCCACTGCAGAGCTGGTAGATGCTTCTTCCTTTTTTCACTCACGTACTCAATCACGCGGATTGTAACGTCCTA